CATTAACATCACATTGGACAAAAATACAATAGTATTTTATGAACCAAAAGAGTATTATCTCATGTCTCATGACTTGGACTTGCTTCCTTTAGAAGTGCTGTACATAAGCCACTCACTTACGTAATTATGTTTGGAATGTTATAATTTTTCATCAATGCACACGCAGGCTGCAAAGATGTGTTTTTAAAAAAATGTTACACTTAGGGTGATTTGATTAATTCTGCCATGTCTTTACTTTGAGCATTAACCTAAAAGGCTTGTTGCCTTTAATTTTAGCCTCTAAGTGAAAAGAACAAGTGGATTAAATGTAATCTATACAGTGACTGCAATTTAGAACTCCACTCTGTCAGTCATCTATATAAAATCATACCCCAGTTCTTTTGTTATTTGACATAGAAATAAGTAACTTGCCATTTTCATGACAGCTACATGTTCTGTACAGCTCTAAACAAAGTTTTTTGTTCTATAAAATGGCTATTAAAATGAATGCCATACTTCCATGCATTGCGCCACCACGCTATAATTATAGTGAATACTCAGAAAACAAAATCCCAAACTATGTTAATCTCAATACTTTTCATACTTTCACAGGGAATGCTTAAAAAATGATTGTGCCCAAGGAATTTCTGGAAGCTTGTCAAATATGTTGGCAGAACACATCTACTGATACCTGCACCACCACTATTACTAGCACTGAGCTACAGGATAGTGGGATTGGCAGCATGCAACGTCAAATACAACTGCTTCTGTGTATTATGATGCTCAGAGCAAGGCATCTGGGAAATCACTGGACTTGTCATTTCCTATGCCTTATTTGCCTTATTTCCTGTAGCGCTCCCCAAGAAGCAAATAAATTAAAGCTCAGCTGAGGTTATGTAGGTGCCACCAGAGACAACTATTCCTAAATAAGTAGAATAGTACCCAAGTAGTGTCCCCAATGTCTGGTCTTGTTTTTGGTGGTGCAGAATCTGGTGATAATATTGCAGTTTCCCCACCACACCAGGTATGTATTTACATCTGTTCTAGAAGGAAATTGACTATGATACAGAGGACAGTTTGAAGGGTGCAATTCACAAAGGTGAAAACCATACTTGAGTGTTGCAGAATAATTGTTGGGCATTTCCACCATAGTTTGAGGTCTAGCGAACCTTTAAGGCAGGAACAAAAATTATAAGAGTTCTCCACTCACTGTCTTCAAAAGGTTGTCAGCACATTCCACTTTAGAAATGTTGAAAATAATTTTGGAACAGCAGACAGCAATCCATGGTCTATTTTCCCACCACTCCACTAATGTTGAGACCCCATTGGGGCATGATGATTGGATGATAATAAGCAGAAACTGAGCCATACTAATACCAGTTTGGGACAGTTTCCCCTTATTCATACAAAATGAGATGGGTGCCTTCCTGAAAACCCAGTAATTTTAGTTCCTGGCAGCACGCACCACACCAGTGTAGCAGCAATGGAAAGAAAGCTGAATGATCTATGCAATGTTTTTCTGAGTAAGGATCCTCTGAGCTAGTGAGATGAGAAGAGTGCTTGACCTGCTCTGTGTCTGGCTATTGCCATGTCTACCAACCACTGTCCAACCAAAGTGAGCATGTGTTTTCTCACAAATGTCCCTGCAACTAATG